TACCCCCTGTACCCGGCTCGCTAAGTGGCCTCCTGAGTTAAGGTTGACTGGGCCCAACGATCTTGTAAGATGACACCGAGGGGATATGAGTGAATTAGAAGTAGGACATGTGTGTCACACCAGATAGCCGAGATAAGGAAGCTCTGCTGTTGAACAGATTGTGTAGCATGCCAGCAGACAGGGTGCAAATTAATTTGCTGGCTATTAAGCTTTGCCATGTAAACTGTGGTTCACTTGCTGGCAGTCCTGTTTGGTCTGAGTCAAGTTCTGTGGCAGGAGAGGGGTTGATGAGGCAGGCGGATATGCCCTACTACTTGAAAAGTTTCTAAGCTACATCTCTGAAAATCTGCTTTAGAGCTCTGAACAGCCAAGAGATTATTTGTAAGACTGCCTTTTCCTACCCCCTTGTCAAAAACATCGTGTCTGAATGTTGCCCTGCCGTTCGTCATGCCTTCCACTGAAATGTTCTTATCAGATTGTACCTTTGTTACAAAATGAAGTAAGAATAGATTTAAGATACGATGTATGATGCAGAAGGGGATCTGTGTCCAGCAAGCTGGAATCCTAAATCCTGATTGATTGATCCCCTAGCAACAACACAATGGTTTGCACTCGGGAGTAGCCTATTGCACAGAACCAGGTCCAATCCCATTTAATATTAGATTGGTTACCCTGGGGAAGAAAATAGATTACCTGCATAGGCCAGGGTCTTTATACCGCGTTGCCCTGTTCTGTAACTGTTTTACCTGTACGTAACAGCGTGGTCCTTCATGGAAGAATTCACAATTGTACAAAGTTGCCAAATGCATATGCATGTACACATTGGAATTTACAAGACCTGTGCATGTATCTCAATTACATTTAGATTGGCTGATTATTATTTTTTTCTTCTACATGACGCATGGTTCTGGGTGCTTATTATATTTCATGTATATGCCCCCTGTAATGTTTCTGTACTGGGTGTGCTGCTCATTTTTTTTATCTAATCTGCCATCCCCAGCCGTTGAGGCAACAAAATTTAGCTACACACCAATTTTCATATCGCTGATAAGCAGGGAAAGCACTGATTAAGGCCGACCCCCTTCAGGACTAATTTTAAGGGCATATTGTCCGATGGACCGCGTCCTGCTATATAAGTTGTCGGGTTACTTGTTTTAGCGCACAGCCTTCAAATTGCTTGTTCCTCCGTGCTGGGGCGTAGAGGTGTCTGTTGTTGATGGTGGAGGGAGCAGGTCTTGTCTTGCACTTCTCAGTGGATGTTGGCTTGGATCTTGTGGTCCTGAGTCAGATACTAAGCACACTGAGGTAGGGAGGGCTTTTGTGAGTCAGTTGGGATTTATTCTGAGAGACTGTAGAAATGTGGCCATTATTTTAAAGTATTTTTCCCCTGAGTCATTAATTTGTCAATAAAAAGACTACTTAACCTAATTTTTTCTCCTGTTTTTTTGTGTTGAGAGCTGCGTTTGGTGGACAGTTTGACGAAATGTGGCCGTATTTTTTTCCCCCTAATTTCATTCATTTTATCCTCAGGAAGACCTCTTATTCCTTTTTTTCATTGTGAAACAGCGCAGTACAGGCTATGAAACTTGCACATTAGATGCAACTTTTCAGTGTGCTGATTTTGGCATGTGCACGTACATGTGATTCTCAAATTTCTCTGTCCAAATATTGCAGGATACCAAGCTTTGTTGTTTGAGGGTAGGAACAATTCTTTCTTGTTGTAAAAAGGGTACATGTGCTTGTGAGTTGTGCTAAAAAACAGCTTGGAAGATGTCTTTGAATACCAATGTCAAAGAAAAATTCATCAAATGCAAATTGAAAAGAAACCTACACTTGAAAACTGTTGCGCATTCAGTGATTAATGACATGTACAATGTATGTTTGTGCCACACTTTCTATTCTCATAAGAAAGTGACCCCAATTTAACATAGTGATTACCTAGTGACAGTAACTGAGACTAATATAATGTTTTGTTTATATCATCTGGCATATCTGATGTGTTTGAATTTTGAGAACATGTACCAAGGAATAATATATTTATGTTAAAAAAACAACTTGGTGTTTGGGAATATTAGAAATGTCAGTGTTGACTTTCCCTTTCTTACTCTCTCTAGCATAACTGATATCTGCTCACTTGTACACTTTCTCTGATATTGTAGAACACTTAGTTTAATATTCAATTCATGCTCACTCTGTTATCAGTGAGTTCTGCTTTGTATGCCTTGAAAACATCTTCACCGCAGTTTTGTGAAAACCTTGCACACTCCTTGACTTTCCAGAGGGTATAGAAAACTTGCGTGGAAGTTTCTTCTTTGTTTTTTTTTTGCACTGAGTGTACCGCTTTCATAGTCCACCAGAAGCAAGCAACCACGCTGGGGACCTCTACACTCTATGTAGTCCCTATCATGTGATATATTATAAGGGGCCTGTTTGTTTCACATGGGTGTGGATCACAATTGGTGATCTGCGGTTCGTTCACTGGTACTATAACCAGCCCGATGCAATGGGTGGAGCAAACCAACATTGAGATCACTAATCGAGATCCAAATCCCGTGTGAAACAAACAGGCCCTGAGTCATCTCTTGTATGTCATTCACAAGTTCATTCACAAGTTTTGGCAAAGGCAAGCCCATCACAAGTCATTTGCAAGCTGATCACATTTGCAAGTCGATCATGCATCAGCAAGTCCACCAACACTGGCCCTGCTATTGTTCTCAGTTATTGAAAGGCAATACTGGTGTAGAGGATCATTGCTTGGTCCTTTTTGCAATATGCATCTTGCTGTGTTCTTCATGTACTGATTGGCTAAAAGCATGGTCACATGGATTTCAGTAATACATGGCCAAAGAAGTTCTGGAGGTGTCGTATTTCTCCACACGGTCAGGCACCACATACAAGTTTCCTGGGCAATTCCATGTGAGAGATATGTGTAAATCTGACATACATCACTAAATCCTTATTAGTATTGGTATACTATTGGTACAAGTTTATCAAAGAGGCAGTGCAGGTAAAAAAATAATGGTTCTACCTGTTATTCTCTCTTTCTTTTTTTAGACCTCAAACAGTGTGACCAATTTTTACATTCACGATGATTGCCCTCATTTGCGGATGTTTTCAGTGTAGCAATGTAGCACAAACAGTGGTAGTTTCATGCCAAAACTTAACTTGAGCTATAATTAAATACCACCATGTTTTTGCTTTGTCATTCCTAACATACCAGAGAATGATTTGCAGTAGTTTTGATGTACATCCCTCCCACTCCCTTAGCCACGTACTGATTGATCTGACCAAAGATAATAAATGGAATGTTGATGTTCTTCAATTTATTTTAAATGGCCTCGCTTAGAATTCAGGGGTAAGCACCATAGATTCCGACTTTCTTTTTTTCTTGGAGGTGGGACATGACCTCCACCCCTCCCCAGGATATTTAGCCTATACTGCATGCCTAATATATACCAGTCTCTCCTTTGTACTACCCCTCCCCCATTTCCTATAAGCTAGCTCCGCCCCTGTTGGACATTCTCTCTTATGATGGTTGAGTGTTAGGAAATATATACCTGGTTTACTGTTCACTGATTGTTCCTTAAAAAAAAAAGAAAAGTTTAAACTTCAGTAAAATTTAGTTTATTGCACGCAGTGACGCAGCATATAAAACTACTGTTTTCCTTTTTCTCCTCATGAACAGCAAAATGATAACAATATAAATAAGGACTGATATGGTGTGGCCCTGCAAAAAATAGAACATGCCAGAACACCAGATAGGAAATCACATTGCGTCATGCCAGTTAATAAGCCAGAGCCTCTCAGAAAGAAGAGAGGGAAAGAAGGAGGGGGAAAAAAGAGAACTGTAAGGGTGAAGATAAGAACACTGTATCTCCATGCTAAAGGTTAACTTGTCATTCTCAGTATCAGCCTTCCAAAATTACATGACAAGTGAGAAGGTTTCAGGCCCTAGGGCCAACTGAGATAAGTAACTGGTGCCCTGCCCAGTTTCTTTAAGCACTTCCAATCTTCTCTCCCCCTCCCCACTGTGGTACTGCACCAGATAGCACCCACCAAATAGACCCCTTTTTCCCCTATGCACTATTATTTGTCTACGTCTTTATCAACACCTTTTGCCTCCACTGAGTTATCAGGAACTAAAGTAAAACTCAATTATCAGTCAGGTCCATAATTGAGCACTGAAAGAAGGACCCTGGTTTTTCCACATTTTGGGGGAAAGTTTTTTTTTTTCTTTATCAGTTCTACCAGGCTGTTTTTCTCCTGACCAGGAAAAACATGAGAAAGAATGACATGGTTAGGAGATATGGCCTGGTATCGCTGGATGGGCCCCATCCCTGCAACTGATAAGGGAGAAATGCAGGTCATCAGTTTTCAGTGTCGCTGACTTGTGTGCTGCCTGCTGTGCCATCAGGCCACGTACATAGACTTCACACATGCGACCTACATGTATCTGATAGCTGTCCACTGTGCAGTAGATTGTAAGCATTATTTTTGGCTGACGTGGAAATCTTCAGATCTTTTGTTTAGTCTCAAGGCCAACAGGAGAATGTCGGTTTGGTTGATAAATTTCCAAATGCCAACGAAAACAAGATTAGCTGTTTGCAGTGTGAAATGAGGGTTATTGAGTGATATCCAGTGGAGGTGCCCATCATAATTACATGTAAGTGGTTCACGTTGTTGAAACCATGGAGGTAGAGTGTTGAAACACAGTCACCACATAAAGCAGGTCAGGTGACGAAAAAGTTCTGCTCATGCTGCCTTGGTTTGGAAACTCATCCAGGTCAATTTAAGGCCAGAGAGAATTTTGCATTCCTAAAAGATGATTTGAATTTCTACATACAAAGGTGGGTGGAAAAAAGGTGTGAATGCAGATTCTTTGTGATAAGCAGACTTTACCAAATCAACCCTTGCATTGTTTTGTGTATTTCTTCGGATGCTTTTTTCAAAAAAATTTGCCATCGGCCATTGAAGTCTTTTGCATATTCATCTCTCCACAGGGAACATCTTCAGCTACGGCATTTGACAATGTCAGTTATCAAGAGAGAGACCCAGTGCAGAGAGCCCACTCCGTCTCCGCCTCCTCGACAAATGGCCCCACCCATGTCTGAGGTATCCCTGTCCCCACCTCCGCCTGAGGTGCCTGTGCCATCTTTCATCCAGGTCACAGACGGTGGTCTGTTTGCAGAGAGCAGCGTCCCAGCCAGTACCATCTTCGGACCGTACAAGGGAACAATTGGGAAAGTCCATCCAAGACGGAGCGAGGATGGAGATGACACAACCCAGCTGACAGGTTTAAAAGTAAGAAAGATTCTTGAAAACTACTCTTGGAAACTACATTTACATGTAGTAGCAAAACATGGTAATCAGTTTCAGGGAAAGGGGGAAATTAGAGTCTTGTTTGACTTTTTGCTTTGTGGGAATTTGTGGACCACAAATGTTTGCTATGAAAACTTGGGTACGTTTCAAGTTGTTTAAAGGAGTCGTTTTTTTAATTGGTTGTAGATGGTTCATTTGTTTTGTCGTGTTTTCGGGGAACAAGCTTGCTTGGAATGGTACGTGTAATTATCCTTCACAGCCATTTTGTGGAGGAGGTACATGTACATGTAGGCCATAGCTATAGACTGGAACAGCATTGTTTGTTATTGCTTTATTCAGTGCATGGTCCATTCTGTGAACACGTGTCGCGTGCTCACAGAGGTATTGACCAGTGGTATTGGTCAAATGAACTCTGTTCAGTGAATGCTAGACTACAAAGTTGCATCATGCATTGTGAAATAACAGGTCTTCCCAGAGCCCTGTAAGGGTGACGTGGATGAGCAATTAACACTCCCCCCCCAGCCCAACTGGATTTTTGTTGAATAAACATGCACTCTATATCTTGAAGTATGCAATGTACATGTATTTGCTGTTTCCTCAAATTTTGGGCATTGCAGTCACTGTCTGAAAGAGCTGAAAATTGTTTTGCCACAAGTTGCTGTAGAGTGATTAAAATAACCGGATCGCCAGCCAGTCTTCTTCCACGTGCTGACCCACCCCTTTCCTCATCAGAATCGAGTTACATGTTCATTAGGTTTCTTTCTCATAGTTGGCTCCCATTATAAAGGGACGAAGAGGGAAACATGCAGTCCCTGCAGCATTTTTCAGAGATATTTTGGTTCGGTCATTAAAAAGACATTCTTTTCCTGAACCTGAGGTTGATCACATTCAAGTTGATCACGTGGTCCTTGTGTACATGTAAGTGAATACCGGTTGATGGTTTTTGTTCCGCTGCCATGTACTGCTACTTTGGAAGCAAAAACATATGTCGTGGCAGAGGAAGCCAGCATGGATCGTATAACTGTAACTCCATCAACATGGGAGAAGGAAAAGAAAAATTAGCAAAGTATCTACAACCCCTGCTCATCGCAGTTGGAAAGTTTCAATTACTCCCAGAGTAGATGGTTGGTTTGGGGGTACCGGCCACCAGGAATCTTTGACCTCTTGTCTCCCTCTCCCCTGCCATTCTCAAGTTACTAATTAAGGCACAGACCTCTTAAAAATTGGTCTCTTCCAGGGGGGGACAAGGGCACAACAGCAAGGAGGAATTTAGAATATTAGTAGGACAACTGGATCCACTTATTAATAGGCACTGGAAAATGCTGGCCACATGCATGAAAGTGTGGATGATTTTTAGAAGATTGTTTGACCATACAGTTTCCTTTTTCATACTGTCATCTATGATGTGCTCAAGCATCAGTCCAGAAAAATTGTATCAAATTTGTGTTACTCATATCACAGGTATCCAGGGCCTGATTGTCATAACTTTTCAGGAATATTTCTACAAAACCTAGAATATTTAAGACTTGATTGGACAACATTTTGTTTTCAAAAGAATGTACCCAGGATGTGAAGGTTATGTACATGTACTTTTATGAGAGGCAAAAGTGCACAGCATAGTAAATCAATAACTTAAATGCATCTCTAAACCACGGATCATACTTCTAGTAACATGCAGGAAATGAACCTTTTGAATGCAGTGTCGTGTTCTGCCAGCATCCATCCACATTGTAACTTTCACCTTATAAGACAATTACATGCCCGTTTTTCTTTCCCATCTCTGCAATGCCAGGCAGAACCAGTTATACAAGGGAAGAGACTCATTATCTCTTATCTCAAGGCAATAGTCTGTCCTTATCTTAGCAGAGCTTTCACTATCACCTTAGTGCCAAGCGAAGGACTTTCTAAATAAATTTATGCACATATGCACTTTACAGATAAGGGGGACTAGCTAAACACATGGTCTTATCTACGATGGACCCCGATGGACCCCTGATGGACCCCGTCTGTTCCATTTTCTATTCTAGGAGATCAGCATAGCGTTTTATGTTTACATTCAGTATTTGTTATCAGTGCTAGTGATACAGTGCATCTGATTCCCTCAAAACAGTATTTTAATGTAATATCTGTTAATTTAAAGCATGTCGATGGAGGATGCCAGGCAATAAAATTTTACTCAGCAACGTTAGGATTTGTTCATTTGAACTCTCCTACCGTAGTCTGTTCAACTTCGTTGCTTATTGAGAAAGTTTGTGTGTAGAAATGTTTCAATCCTTTATGCCCAGTAAATATGACATGCACATACATGTAGGGAAAAAGGAGTGTGTTGTGGAAGAACAAAGTACGGAACGTGTGAAGCCCCCCCTCGAAATAAAAGAATTTATTTTGGAAGGTTATGCCTTAATTCTTCTGCCTTTGCTGGTGTACCTGTAAATTCCATTTTTGCCTTATCAAGGTAGTTAATTATAGCTCCCCTGAAGTGGACACGTAATGAGATTGGTCCCTATCTCTGTAACTTGTCCTCTTCATCAAGTTCATGCTGTTATCATCCAGAGAAAAGTTCAGGGTTCATGATATGAATTATACCTTGGAACATGTTTTGTCCCGCTTTCTCGGCTCTTAAATGCAAGAAAACTCTTTCACATTTCATTTTGGTCACTCTTGTTACTAGTAGCTCTAACTGAGGTTACTGCCTAAGGCTTGATGGCATCACATTCTTGCTCTCACACAAATACATAATGCGTCTGCAAATGTGTAGTATCGTAAATCAAAAAGATGCCAGAGTGTCCTTCAAATGGTGCAACAAAAAATGAAAAGTCAGCTTAAAAGGACACCAGAGAGCATAGTTACAACAGCTGTGTTATAAGAATTACATTAGATGGACCCTTTCAATGATTCCAAATTCATTCAGAACAGTCTTTTGTGCACTGTGTTCCTGTTGTAGTTCCAGGACTCAGCTGGCCAGGAATATGCTATCGACAGGACAGATGGTGATCAGCCATGGTGGGCATACATCAGACAGGCCACAGAACATAACCAGGCCAATGTAGGTCTCTTCTCACATAGTAAGTTGAAATTAAAGGAAGACAAACAAAGAAAGTTAGTCTCATGATGATGATAAAAGACACTGTCTGCCAGATCCATGCCCCACATTACAACTGGTAATAAATAACTTCATCCTAGTGTTAGCTCAAAACTTGCTTTGATACAGGGCACTACTGAGAAGCTGAACCCTGAGCTACATGAAGAGAGAGTTTCACCAGCTTCAGAGTTAAGAAACAAAATGGTTGTTCATTATGTGTGGAGCGTGCAGCTATTGAATACCAAGTGTCCTTGTGCACTGGTGCATACGTGCACACCTGCCAATTTGTTTCCAACAATGGACGCTCATGTCGCAACTCTCTCTATATATTGGCTGAACGAAATTCGGTCTTGGGGTAACAGCAGATCTTAACCTCGAGATACCCCAGGGCAGCTCGAGCATTCCCATTACTCTGTTACTTTGAGCTCTTTTTATCCATTGAAAATAGTGTACTGGTGCAAAGCGTCTCTTATGTAACTAAGCAAAAGCTTGCCCTGAATCATGAGGTATAGCAACAGAATCTTTAGTACGGTGAATTCAAGTTACTAATATGTTCACGTGAATCTAAAGAACTTGATGAACCAGATTTTATTCAAATTTAAATCGCAAAAATGATCTATCAAGCTCAGCTCAGAAATTCTGAGCTTACTTTGGGTGTATGGGATTCATGTGCGACAAAGTTGAACTCCACCGTGTAAAGGACTGTGGTTGTGGAATAATACCATTGACAATTTCTTATTTTAAGGTTATTTTGTTATGACAGGTAACGTCTGCCAAAAATCGGTCTTGACACTTGTCACAGGTGCTTGCACTGTACAGTAAAGGTAGTTGGGTTCAATTCAGACTCTAAAGTTACTGTCAAAGTGAGGGTCAAAGACAGAAAGGGAGCAGTTTAGAACTCTAAAAATAAAAATGAATTGAACAAAAAGTTGGTGTCACAAGTATCTGCATTTGAGTCGCGGGGTCATAAATTCTTTTGTTTTTAAGGTCAAGTGCATGTCCCAATGTCCCATGTGTGTTGATCAAGGTTTCAGTTTTGTATTTTGCACTGCATGTCAAATGCAAAACTTGATCATCAATTGAATGAGAATGACTTCCTTTGAGGGGTCATTCTGTGTCAATTCAACACACTTTTGGACCTGACCATCTTTGATTGAAATGAAATTCAGTGTGCTGATTGGATTCCTTGGGGAGCCCACGGAACCTACATTTTTAAGTCAATCGGTCTATTAGTTTTTGAGATGCAGTCAATGAACTTTTCTACGTCATGGAACTGTTGCAATTGGACTTTTTGGCGCCCCTGCTAACTTACCTCGGCTACACGGAATCTTCCGCAACCTTTGTCATCAGCCTAGTACTTTTACATCATGGTCACAGTAAGTTGAGAGGGATGTTAGTTTACTGTGTGTCTCCAGTGGATTTCATTTTTTCATTCTACTGGAAAGTCGCAGTAAGTTAACCAAAAGAGTCCAATGAGAACAGGGCTTAATTACATATTAAGCCCTGTTCTCATTGGACTCTTTTTGGTTAACCAACATTTCCAGAAAGGGTTAGGATAGGCACTCTTTCAGTTTTCGACTCGTGTTTCAATCTGTGATGGTCAGGTCAAAAGGCATGTTGAATTGACCCAGAATGATCCTAGAGTTTAATATCAGTGCACATACAGTTTGCAATTTAGTCTCTGCAGTGGTATATAAATAATAATCTGAGTGAACCAATATAACCACATGCTGCCGGGTGGTTTGAAAAGTGCAGTGCGAACATAAGGGTGTATTTCAAGATTTTCAGTGTTCAAAAATCTTCAAAAATTCATTGTTTCAATT